CTAGCATCTGAGGCAAGTGATAAAACAATCCAGGCTCTGAAATCACTATCCCTGCAGTTCTGCCAACTGTAGCAAATGACCAGCTCTATGCCATGCATACCACTTTCTTCAGCTGGAGTCCTCCAAACCCGCCATCTCCAATGTCCTGGGATCTTCACTGCAACTTAGACTTCACCTTTTTATTCGAGGAGATGCAGTAAAGAAACTGCTGATATGACTGATCCATTGTTGGGGAAAGGGGCTTAATTGTAGAGAGAGAAAATACCCAGAGGTGCCTGGAGGAGTCCAGAGCAGAGAGAAAGAGAAACAGATTGGACATGACCAGGGCTACCTGTGGGAGAAGAAAGAATAAATAGCAATGGATAGAGAACAGAGAAAGCATGAGAAGAGCAGGGGCAGGGGAGAAAAATCTTTGCCATTATAAAGAAAATAAAAGATCTGAGGTCACAAATATAGAACCAACCAATACAGAGGACTGGTTGCACATACCCATTCATAAATAAAACTCAGCTTGGGTATCTGGAAATGCCCAAATGGTATACCTGAGCATCAAACATATTCCCACCACCATATAGGGGAGGAGAGAAGCCTGGGAAGGCGAGGACACTGGAAGGTTTGCAACATGTAACAGGCACTTGTGACAATGAGGGAGCCTGGTGGCACATTGACTATGATATGCTGACAGGTGCCACAGGTAAGTAGCCATATGTCCCCGTTCTCAGAAGTAAGGAAAATAACTCATTTTGGCAGATGGGAATCAGTTTCCCAAGTTCCTGAGGAATGCTGGCTTTTATCTGTCAGAAATCCTCCGACAGTCCAGGTTGAGCTCATTTTTGCCTATTTGGACACTCTTTTGGAGTTTGGGAAATTGGGAGTTTCCTGTGGCCCTGACTGTAAGGATTCAGGCATTATGCTGGCCTGCCCCTGTCACCTGGCAGAATGCACTCAGGCAGTACCCTGGTCAGCCCAGGAGCAATGGACCTCTTTAAAAGAAAGACCTCCGGCCACTTATGCTCTCTTCTCTTTCCTGCTGTTCCCCTGGGGTAGACAGGACTTTTCCTGTCTCCCTCTTCTCTTCTGTCCTGACTCTGTCTCTTTACCTCTTTTCTCTTTCCTCTCCTCTCCTTCCCTTTCTAATAAAACTTCTCACTTAAACTGACTGGCATGTTTGTCCCCCGCCTTGTTCAACCTTGCCCAACATGGAATGTGCCAAGGTCCCCCATGCAAGGTTCCACGCTCTTTATCATAACAACGGGAATGGATGGGACCCTCCTTCCCATTTCAGAGAAAAACCTGGGACTGCTTAACTGAAAAAGCTGTCTCACTTATGCTCATCTACCTACCCCACTCAGATCTGATGGTGTTTGATGACTGGGGTACTGATAGCTTATTAGTTTATTACGTTTCCTGGTAAAAGTACAAACAGGTGTTCCCCCTTCACAGGCTTCATAGTCAGGGATCAACAGGTTTCAGATGCAACTTCAGAGGTTCAGAGTTTTAAATTTCCTCGGCTTGTTTTCTAAAATGTCCATGCTTTTTAACCTAAAGCCTTTTGCTATGACACCAAGATGTAAATCTGTTCTGGCTGTCATACAGATGCCTGCAACTTCCTGGGAGAAGTTTTGCTTCTGTGCCAAGAAATCTGGACTGTTAACGAAAATTCACAGTCTCCAGAGCCAATTTTGACCCATTTTCAAGCATATCTTGCAGGTTCACTCCTCCTGCCTGGGCCAAGGCCAACCCACAGAGGGTCCTCCAGATAACGCCAGCACCCACACCAGCTCCTTCACTCATACCACCCGCTGAACATAAACCTACCGACTCCTTACTCCCCCCTCCCCCACATCGTCCCTTGACAGCAGAAGAATCCAGACATAAACCGGCGTCCATATACCCAGAGTCTGGGATGTTATGGTGGAAGCTTCCACCCCAGATCCTGGCATCCATATACCCAGAATCTGGAATGTTATGGTGGAGGTTCTACCCAAGCCTCCTCCAAACCCTGCTGCATCTCAGAAAACCTACCAAATGATGATCCCTCCCCCAGAGATAGTTAAGACCACTCCCACAGGGTATTTAAACTATCCTGTGTCTCTTTCCCATCTCCTCTCTGGGGAGCTGGAAGGCCATCGGGGAACATTGTATCCATTAGATGTGGGCTTTTCCTAATTTGGCCTGCTGCATCAGTGAAGAGGCTTATCAGGGTGTAGAAACTTTTCAATAGCATCACATCCAACAATGACACTCCTGACCTTCCCTTAAAAACCTGCCAGTCAGCTGGGCGGTGATGGCGCACGCCTTTAATCCCAGCACTCGGGAGGCAGAGGCAGGCGGATCTCTGTGAGTTCGAGGCCGGGCTGGACCGATAGCCTCCAAAACAATACAGAGAAACCCTGTCTCGTAAAACCAAAACCAAAACAAAACAAAAAAAACCCAAAAACCTGCCAGTCTGCTGGGCACTAGTAGTGTACATCTTTGACCCCAGCACTCGTGAAGCAGAGACAGGTGGATCTCTGTGAGTTCAAGGTCAGCCTGGTCTACAGAACAAGTTCCAGGACAGCCAGGACCACACACACACACACACCCATCCATCTCAAGAAAGCAAACTAACCAAACAACAACAAAAAAAAACCCTAACCTGCCAACCCTTAAATTATGCTACTTTTTTCCTTGTGACAGAAAAATCAGAATTCGAAAGGGGGAGTTCAGAAGACCATGCCACAGGAAGTGCCACTGCAACCACAGAGCTCATGGCCCTTTGAGCACATTTCTATCCTTCCTGCCCTAACTGAACTTCTACAACTTGAGCAATTAAATATTTAAGCTATGTGTGGGCCTTTGGTACTGCATGCCCATGTAGCCATTTGGAAACAAGGGTTATTAATGCCCAAAAGCTCCCTATGAAACAAAGGAACTGGCATCGTCCTGCTAGAGGCATCGATGCTACCTCAAGTGCAGCCATTACTCACTTGTAAGGCAACTCTTTCCCCAGCAAAGGAAACACCTGGCAGAGAAAGCCACCAGGTGGGCACCTCGGACAACTGAACCAGATAAAATACTGAAAATACAGACTGTCATAACAGACCAGTCTTGGAGACAAGATCTCCACCTCCCACAACTTTGAGCAACATAGCGGCTCTTAAAAGAAAAAATATAGGGCTGAAGAGATGGCTCAGCGGTCAGGAGCACTGGCTGCTCTTCCAGAGGACCTGTGTTCTATTCCCAGCAAACACATGGAGGCTCACAAGCATCTATAGTGGGATCAGATGCTCTCTTTTGGCATAAAGGTGTACATGCTGACAGAGCACACTGTGTGCACACGCACAGATAAAATACAAATGGCCAATGAAACAGTGCTCAACCCACCAGCCACGATAGATACACAAATCAAAACTACTCTGAGATTCCATTTCACTCTAGTCAAAATGGCAGTCATTAAGAACAAACAGAACCAAGAAACCCAGGCAAGAATGTGGACAAGTGGGAATGCACTGGTCCAGCCACTATGGAAGTCGGTAAAGAGGTCTCTCCAGAAACTAACAACAGATCTCCCCTATGACTCAGCGACACCACTTCCAGGTTCTTAACCTAAAACCTCCCCTATCAGAGACACTCACACATTGTCTTTTGCAGCGTTAGTCACAAATAGCTGTTACGAACCAGCAGAGGTGTCCACCAACAGAGGAACGGATAAAGAAAACATGACATACACACTTAATGGAATTCTTTTTTTTTTAAATCTTTTTGTTTGAGACGGGGTTTCTCTGTGTAGCTTTTTGGAGCTTGTCCTGGAACTCACTCTGCAGACCAGGCTGGCCTCAAACTCACAGAGATCCGCCTGCCTCTGCCTCCTGAGTGCTGGGATTAAAGGCGTGCGCCACCACTGCTCGGGCATAATAGAATTCTTAAACTTTTTCACGTGTGTGTGTGTAAGTCAGATAACAACTTTCAGTTCTCCAGTTCTCCTTCTACTATGGATACCAGGGCTCCGACTCAGATTTCCAGCATTGGTGGGAGGTGCCTTTACCCACTGAGCCCTCTCATTAACCCCGCCATAGAATTTTTCAATCATAAAGAAGAACGAAGTTGCCGGGCTGTCTCCAAACCTACAGAGAAACCCTGTCTCAAAAACCAAAACGGGGGAAAAAAAAGGAGGAACGAAGTTATGTCATTTGCAGGAAAACGGATGCAACTGGATATAATCATATTAAACAAATTACTCTCAGACAACTGTTTTCTCTGACTTGTGGTTCCTAAAGTTTTATGGAGATGCATAAAATCATGTATAGAAATGAAACTAGGGGGGTAGGGAACAGGAAGGGAGGGCTGGCAATAGGGACATATGGAGTGGGTATGCTCAATATACCGCATATACCTGTGTGAAAACTTAAAAAAAAAATAAGTAAAAAGCTTAACACTAGTCAAGAAAAGTGAAGTTGGGCTTGTACAGATCTCTAATTCTAGGCCAGACTGGGCAACATGGCAAGTTCCAGGCTAACCTGAGCTACCCAGAAAAGCCCATCTTAGGAAAAAAAAATTCTGTTCACGCCGATGTTCAAACCGGAAGTAACGGGTAGACGCAATTATTCCGTGATGACATAACTGTTAACACCAGGCATCACGAGGAACTCCAGCAGGTTCTCGGATCCCGCTAAGGGGGCAGGGGGCGTGGCCAGCTGAGTGGGACCCGCCCCCACACCATCGTGGAGGGTCACGAGCGCGCTCGCCGGGCTGCCGGGCTTCCGGACTCGTTCCCGCGCGGCCTCAGCCCCGCGATGCCCGGCAGAGGCGCACCTCCTGACAAAGGAAAGCTGGAGCCCGGCAGCTGCCCGTCCTCCTCCGACCCGCACGCTTGCGCCGGGAGCAGCCCGCAGGGACCAGCTCAGAAGGGCTCGAGGCCCGAACCCACGCCCGGGGGGCGCCACGGCCCGCGAGGCTCCCACCCTGGCGCGGCCACGACCCTTCTCTCGGGCCCGCGCATCCCAGCCTTGTAGACATACCTGGAGGGGCTTAGCCTCCACTCGCGGTTCCGGGTCACGAAGCTCGTGGAGATGGGGGCCCTGTCACCCACTCGCGACTGCAGGTGGGGGAAGGGCGACCGCCGATGCATTCGCGCAAGCGCGCAGACTGGAGAGCGGGCGGCCCTACCCAGAGTCCTTGGAGCAGTGACGCGGCTCTCAGGACTACAATTCCCATACGCCTCCGAGCCGCGCTGCTAGGGACTCTGGGAAGTCTGCGCGTTGTGTGTAGGGGCGGGGACTGGTTTCCAAGTTAACTGAGTGTAGGCGCTCTCTGAGAGGGTGCCATCTCTTTCCTCCTTGAATGCGATTTAAAAACCTGGGTTTTAGAAATTTCACGATTCAATCGATTAAAACTCAGCTACAAAACACGTGCATTAAAGCAAATACCAACCTTAGTCTCAACCATGTAAAGAACACACATCTTTCTGGACGTGGTAGTGCAACCTTTAATCCGAGTAAATCAGGAGGCAGAACCTTGCGAGTTTGAGGACAGAGAGCTTCAGGCCAGGCAGGGCTACATAATTAGAGCCTGTTTTAGAACAACCAAGCCCCCACCACACACACAAACCACCATTTTCCTTAGCCTCTAGGCTTTATAGTTATTTTTTGGAAGGACTGGCACAAATAACCCCTTGTTGGTTTGAGACAGGGTCTTGTCACCAAGTCTAGGCTGGTTTCAAATTTAGCAATCTTCCTGTTTCAGCTTTCATCTTAATGGGATTACAGGTGAACGGTACCACGCCTATCAGAGTATTTCAGTACTGACAACCTCTATAAACACATACATACATATGGGCAAAGCATTTATGCACCTAACATCTTAAAAATTGTGGCATGATGGTGGCACATGCCTTTAATCCCAGCACTCGAGAGGCAGAGGCTGGTCTACAGAGAGTTCCAGAACAGAGAAACTCTATCTCAAAAACCAAACCAACAAACAAAGAAACCGCTACAATTTGTCACTGATGATAATTTTAACTCTGAGTAAAGTACACGGAAAGCTGTTTCTGAAGTTTGGGGAGGGAGAGGAGGAGAAAAGGCACAGAAGGAATCCCAGCGCTCAGAAGCAGAGCTGGAGGGTTAGTTCAGGGCCAAGCCAGACAATGTGAGGCTGTCTCAAAAAGGAAAGGAATGCTTCTGATTCGATAACCCTGTAATCTCAGTGTTTGGGAGATTGAGGCAAGATCATTGGTGTGAGAGCAACACCGATCTGGGCTGCTACAGTGAGTTCCAGGTTAGCCTAGGATACAGAGTGAGAACCAGTCTCAAAACCAGGGCTAGACCTGGCTGTGATAGATAGTACTGCACTGGGGTCCGGGAGGAACAGGTAAATTAAATCTCTGAGTTTGAGGCCAGCCGAGATTATACAGTGAGTTCCAGGACACAGGTCCTGAGTTCAAATCCTAGCAACCACATGGTGGCTCACGACCATCTGTAATGAGATCTGGTGCTCTCTTCTGGTGCATGCATGCATACATAATTAATAAATAAATAAATAAATAAATAAATAAATAAATAAATAAATCTTTGCCAGGAGGTGGTATCTCACACCTTTAATCCCAGTACTCGGGAGGCAAAGGCAGGTGGATCTCTGAGTTTGAGGCCAGCCAGGTCTACAAAGTGAATTCCAGGACAGGCTCCAAAGCTACACAGAGAAACCATGTCTCAAAAATTAAAAACAACAAACAACCAACAACAACAAACAAACCACCAACAAAAACATGGCTGGTAAAATGGCTTAGGGGGCATATGTATTTGCCACTAAGCCTGATGACCTGAGCTACATCCCTGGTCCCCCACAAGGTGGAAGAAGAGAGCCATTTCCCACAAGTGTCTCCTGACCTCCACCTGTACAATGTGACACATTTGTGAGTGCACACAAATATCATAAAATTGTCTAAAAAAGAGACTATGCATCATATTTTCAAAACATTGGAAACAAGCTAGATCTTTGAATATTTGAATCAAATAAATTGTAGTTATATACAAATAGAACTGGAAGAGACACTGAAAATGATGTGTATCGATCACATGATGGAGGTGTCTAATTCACTGAGAAATGAAAGGAAAAAAAGGGCAGGAAATATATAACAATCTGTCGAGTGTAGTCCTATTTAGGCTGGAGATGTAGTTCAATAGTAGAACATTTGCTGTCTTATAAAGACCTTGGGCTTGATTCCCAGCACCACGCATGCATCTACACAAAAATAGAATGTGTGTAAAAACTATTTTGTAAAAACTATGTGTATTTTGAGACAAAACTGGAAGATACAAAAAGAGGAGTGAACACCCTGTCATTTTATGATAACCCCACCAAATGAGAAGTCTGTATTCGAGCTGTTTCTAAAGAATTTGCAAAATCCAAAGCACTGTTTTTTTATTACTTTCTCCCTTAGGAATAAAGGAAGCGTACAAAGGAAGGGTTTGAAAACACAGTGCATATTTTTGCTGACATATAATTCTTTCTTTTCTCCTTTCCTTTCTTTCTTTTTTCCTTTTGTTATCCTAGTCCATTGAGAGCCGCAAGGGAGGAGAGAGACAGTACCTATGGTCCAAAGTCTTTAATAAATCACCACATGGGTGGGTCACTCATCAATCAGGGCTGCAGGACAAGGACTCGGGAGCCTTGCTTTTCCTGACAACCCTGAGCATGGGCAGAAGTGGGATTTATAAACACAACACACACACACACACACACACACACACACACACACACACACACACAAACATAAACACACCTGTGCCAAATTACAGTTACATTTTTCACCCACAGGAGTCAAAGATTAGGGTTTTTCCTTATGTGTTCCATCATTGTCAACTGACACAGAATGTAAGCTTTTTAGTCCATCTAATCGGATTCATTTGTTCTTTCTGCTGTTAGGAACTGCCATGTCTTAGAGAACTAAGGACACAGTAGACTGTTTCTGTTGTTTAAGGTGGAGGTTGGTCAGCCATCGGAAAGGGCTCAGCTCCCCTAGGGTTTGGGTACCTGAACTTTTGTTTCACCCTACAGGTAAAATGAGTTTGAAGGCAAAATGGCAGTATTCAGGCCAAGGTGCTTCTGCCTGCTCCCCTTTTTCCTTCCCTTCCCTTTCCTTTCCTTTTCCTATTCCTTTTTCCTTTCCTTTCCTTTTCCTTTTTCCTTTCCTTTTCCTTTTCCTTTTTCCTCTCCTTTCCCTTTTCCTTTCCTCCCCTCACTTCCTCCCCTCCCCTCCTCTTCTTTCTTCCCCTCTCCTCCCCTCTTCTATTCTCCCTTCCCTTTCTTTTTTTGAGACAGAGCCTCAAATATTGAAGACAGGCCTTGAAGTTGGTACCCAAGGCAGGGTAACCAAGAACAACCTTGGCCTTCTGAGTCTCCTGCCCCCACCTCCTGAATGCTGGAATTACAAGTGTGCACCATCATACCTGTTTTCTGTGTCACTGGGGATAGAACACGGGGCTTCGTGTGAGCACACTACAAATTGAACTACACCCACTGCCTGAAGTATGACTTTTCATTTCATTTTCTTCCCATTAGGCTCTCATTATTCTTTTGTCAATTACCTCCACAGACACCATCGGTTGCTTAGTATGCTGTAATATGTAACTCTAGTTCCTGGTATTTGACGCCCACTTCTGACATCCATGGGTGTCTGCAGTCACGCACACATACACTTAGACATACAGATATAGAAATGATTGAAACTAAATCTTTTGGGTCCCCATATCCCTACTTGACTAGCATAAAAAAAACTTTTGGGGCTGGTAGATGGTTTAACAGCTAAGAGCACTTGCTGATTTTGCAGAGGACCCAGGGAACCTGAGTTCAGTTCCCAGCTCCTAGATGGTGGCTAACAACTGCCTAACTCCAGTTCCAGAGGATCTGACACCCTCTCCTGGCATGACATAATGAATGCAAAGCACTCTTATATGTCTAAAAAACATAGATATTCATTAATAAAATGTTTTAAAACTTAAATATTTATTTAAAGTCTTTGGTCTTGCATTTTGACTGAGTCTTTTATCCAGTTGTGAATATATACCATCATAGCTTGGTCATTTGAAAAAAAAACAATGGCTCATAAAATCACATACTTCTATATGCTGACATTTTTTTCCCCTTGAGACAGGGTTTCTCTGTAGCCCTGGCTGTCCTGGAACTCACTCTGTAGATTAGGCTGGCCTGGAACTCAGAGATCTGCCTGCCTCTGCCTCCTGAGTGCTGGGATTAAAGGTGCACCACTACCCAGCTGTGCTGACACATTTTATTACACAGTATCAAGCACCATATTAATTTCACCGGTTCTCTCATCAACACTGGCTAAGTATAGGGACACATTACAAGCTTTTTTTGTCCAAATTCTGCTTAACATGAAAGCTCATTTTATCATTGAGCAGCAAATATAATCAGCTGGTTTCCTGGAAGTGATAGTTCCCTTCATTTACTTTAAAAAAATCATCAGAACCACAGAATAGCCATTGTTTCTTCACATTGTTTCCTTTAAGTCAGAGTGTGTTCCCGGGTTAGAGAGATGACTCAGTGTGTCAAAAGCGATTACTGTATAAGCATGAAGAGATGAGTTGGAATCCCAGAACCCACATAATCCTGGACATTGTCAGGCATATCTGCAACCCAGAGTTCCCACAGTGAGATGGAAGGTGGAGAAACAAAAACCCCAAAAGCTTCTGGGCTGGCAAGCCTAGTATGCAGAGAAACCCTTCCTCAACAAGTCGGAAGCTGAGGACACGCACCCAAGATCATATTCTTATCTGCATACGCTTGCTGGAGCAAGTACACACCCACACTCAGATGAGTGAATGCTCGCTATGATGCTCTGAATAAAAATGGCTCCCAAACATATATTTGAATGTTTAGTCCCCAGGCAGTGAAACCCTTTGATAGGATTAGAAGGATAAAGAGGTGTGGCCTTGTTGGAGGAAGTGTGTCACTGTGGGTGGTCTCTGAGGTTTCAAAAGTCCAAGCCAAGCCCAGAGTCATCTCTCTCTCTCTCTCTCTCTCTCTCTCTCTCTCTCTCTCTCTCTCTCTCTCTCTCTCTGTGTGTGTGTGTGTGTGTGTCTATGTATCAGGATGTAATTCTCAGCTACTGCTCCAGCATCTGCCTGCATGCCAACATGCTTCTTGCCATGACAATATTGGACTAAACC